GAGCGGGACAGCACCCGTATAGCGCATACAAAGTCAGAATTACACCAAAATATAGCAAGCAGTTGGACAACAAGTCGCACTTTCTTTTGCTGATATTTCTTGAAGTACTGCAAGTATAGACATGAAACTTACATCATTGGATAGAGGAACATGTGCCCTTCATACTGACAACTGGATTAAGAGATATAGATTATTTTTAGATATTTTATGCTCCAACATGTGGAGCCTCTTCTCAGTGGGACAGCACCGGTATAGCGGAAGGAAAGTCAGAATTACGCCGAAATAGCAAGAAGTTGGACAACAAGTCGCACTTTCTTTTGCTGATATTTCTTGAAATCTCGCAAGTATGGATATAAAACTTACATCAATTGATAAAGGAACATGTGTCCTTCAGAATGACACCTAGATTGACAGATTTAGATTATTTTTAGATATTTTATGCTCGAACATATGGAGCCTTGACTCAGCGGGACAGCACCCGTATAGCGCAAAGAAAGTCAGAATTACGCCAAGATAGCAAGCAGTTGGACAACAAGTCGCACTTTCTTTTGATGATATTTCCCGAAGTACTGCAAGTATGGGTGTGAAACTTACCTCAATGGATAGAGGAACATGTGCCCTTCATAATGGCACCTCGATTGACAAATATACATTATCTTTAGATATTTTATGCTCGAACATATGGAGCCTTGTCTCAGCGGGACAGCACCTGTATAGCGCAAAGAAAGTCAGAATTACGCCAAAATAGCAAGCAGTTGGACAACAAGTCGCACTTTCTTTTGCTGAAATTTCCCAACGTACTGTAAGTATGGATATGAAACTTACATCAATGGATAGAGGAACATGTGCCCTTTGTAATGGCACATCGATTGACAAATATAGATTATCTTTAGATATTTTATGCTCGAACATATGGAGCCTTGACTCAGCGGGACAGCACCCGTATAGCGCAAAGAAAGTCAGAATTACGCCAAGATAGCAAGCAGTTGGACAACAAGTCGCACTTTCTTTTG